TTAGGGTAAATTTCACAAAGTTTTTCTCCAATCTCTTCTGGTTATAATCCATTTTACAGCTGCTGGCATCATTTCTAATTTTATTCTGTTCAGGAACCTAGTTAAGTTTGGACTCTTCAGTCTATCACATTAGCTACTACAATCGATATTCCTCCCTCTGCCCTCCCCTCTCCAGTTGCATTTACCTCTATACTTCCACACCTGGCTGCTCCCCCATTTTCTGTTGTGTCACATGACTCTGGCCCCTCTATCCCAGATGCCCCTTTGATCCTTTTCCCCACCCACCTCCCTCTCAATCTCAGAAGGCTCACTTAATTACTACCCACTAGTTTTTAAGCATTTTGCAGTTGAATTGTGATATAAACATCCCATGTTTGTCATTTTCACTTGCTTACTACCCGCCATCCCTTGAACTCCTTCCATTTTGCTGTAAATGGCAGAGTCTCATCTTTCCTTATGGCCTGGGTATCTCACTCGGTGAACTGCCTGTTCAGATCTTCTGCTGTCCTTTCACTAATTGGGCTTTTTATTGTTAAATTATTTTAAAAATACATGCTGGATATTATCAGTTGGTGTATAAAATGTATTTTCTCCCATCCAGCAGAATGTCATTTTAATCTACTTGTACTTTCTTCGTGTAAGCTTTTTAGTTTGACGTAATTCCAACTGGTTATTTCCCTTGCCATAGGAGCGGAATTTCTAAAAACATCTTTATCATTCATGTCATGAAACATTGCCATTTTTTTTATGTATTTTGTTGTTGCTGGTCTTGGGAAGCCTTTAACTCATTTGGAATTAGTTTCCATGCATGGAGTTAAGAGTGATTAAACTTCGTTCTTTTGCATGGGGTTGTCCAGTTTTCCTAGCACCATTTGTTAGAGACTTTCCTTTTCCCACTGCATGGTGGTAACTTCTGTATCATGAATCAAGTGTTGGTATGTACATGAATCTGCTTCTGGGCTTTCTACTGTCAAACACTTTGACATTCTCCTGATAAAACAAATTCAAAACACCAGATCAGTCTCCTTGGGTCACTTCTGATCGTACAAACTAAATTTTACTTTTAGCTTGTTTTTTTTCCCCATTATCTTGTCATTATTAATCATTTATGTATTTGTCTGTGTCCCTATTAGTTTATAAATTCCATGAGGTGAGGGTACTTATCTTCTGAAATTTTATTTCAAGAAACACTCAAACTGAATTAACCAGTTAATGATTTCCCTCAAAGATTTGAGGGGACCTAAGAAACTCAAGTTTCACACTGAATTAGGCGCAGAGTAGAATCTAGAGCACACCTAAGTATACACTCCCTAGAAGCTATCCAAGACCTATGACTATTTCTCTGTACATGATCTAGCCTTTATTTTATAAACTTTGATCTTTTAACTGTTAAAAATGTATGGAAAATAATTGAACGGCACATAATATTGTTACCTCTGGAAGATTACAAAATGGGAATTGGGGTTGGTGATGGTAGAAAAAAGGATGGCATGGACTTTTTTTTTCTGCTATCAGTACTTTCTAAATATCCCATACTGAATTTGCATTTCTCATTGAAAAAAAAAATTGTACTGAAAAGGACACACAAGTGAACTTGACATGGAAATCATGACACCCAAATTTGATGTGGATTTGAATGAAAGGTTTGATTCCAGTATTTTCAAACTTTTTGAAAGGTAAGTCTCCTATTGAAAGTAGATGTTTTAAGAAATCTGATACAGAATCTTCAACTAACAAAGATAAATGCTGCCAAAAGTACTTTCCCCAAAGAAATAATTAACCCCAAGCAAAATCCTAAGTTGCTGTCATCCTGTCCTCATGTTTTTAACTTCCCCTGTAGTGACTCCCCATGTTATTTCCCCCCTTAACTCATCCATCCAATTGCCTACTCAATGTCTCCATAAAAGTAATATGACTCTCAAAACTCAATATATCCAAGGCAGGCTTCAATTTACACATTCCAATTTGATCCACAACTGGTTTCCTTAATGATAATGGCATCACTATCATTGCTCAAAATCAGAGCCAACTTGATTTCCTTTTTTCCCACATCTAAGCCATCACCAAATTCTGTCAGCTTTACCACCAAAAGACATTCTGAATATGACTTCTCCCTCCAGCGACTACCCTAGTCGGGGACCCCAGCATCCCTCACCCACGCAACTGCAACAGTCTCCCTTGGCTTGCCCCACCAGGGCCTGTTACCTATTTACCAAAGGAATTATAGAGTAGACCCCTCTTGCCTTTACGTAAGACCTTCCAATGGCTTTGCTATTACACTTGGAAATGCAATGTAAATTCCTTTCCATTCAATCATAGCCCCTAAATGGTTGGTCAGATCTGGCCAATCCCTGCAACATTGTCACCCACCACTCCCCACCACTGACTGGCCTGTTTTCCTGGCATTCTCTTTCTCAGCATAGAAATGCATTCCTGCTTCAAGACTTAGTATTCTCGTTCCTTTCATCAAAGTGCTTTTTTCTTTGATCTTGGTGTTTTTCTCGTATCACTCAAGGTCATTAATTCCCCAATGACACTAAAACTTTGTTTTGAATCCCAACACATACCCATTAAGCAAAACAGTGACTGGTGCATGGGTCTTCAATGAATATTTGTTGAAGTCTATGCAATCAAGCAAATATGCAATCAAGCTTACCAGGTATGAAAATGGTAGTTCCAGTAGATCCAAACCTTGCAATGGCTACCCCTTTACCCACACTCCAGTCCTGGGTGCCCCCCAAATTAACCAATCTCTCACAAAAATTCCACCCCAAACCTTGGAACATACTATTTAGTCTCTTCTGCATCATTTGTTATAAAAAATATGAAACAAAACCTGAGCCTTATGGATATACAGTTTTCATGCACATACACCAGACAGTATTTTCCCCTTGGCAAACTTTTCTCACCTTTAAGTCTGTCCTTTGTGGGCACTTTTGCCTAACGTCATCTAAAACTGTATGAGTTGGGGATACAGATAAGCAAATGAACTGGAATGATACCCCCTGTGTCACACTCCCAGAGACAAACACTGCACCTTTCCTAGGGCAGTCCAGACTCAATCACAGCCTCTTTGACTCTAGTAAAAAGCAACTTCATCATTTTCTTTGCTACCAAAAAACCTAACATCAACCTCAATAAAACTCACTAATGTTTAGAGCCAGGAAAGGAAGTTTAGGATGAAAATGAATAGCAAGTGGATCAAAATGCCAAATAAAAAGGTTTGATCACTCAAATCTTGTCACAATGACGAGTTCTGAAATAACATCCAGTTTATGATTCAAGAATTATAAATTCTGTACAAATCTTCAGAGCATTAAGAATACAGATTAGCTTATGGTGTATCATTATTTGGACTCAATTTTTATCTAAGAAAAACTTCATTGATTCTTAATGAATATTTCAACCAAGCTATTTCCTCTTCAAAAAAATTTTTTAACTGTTCAGACAAATGAAAATACTGAATGCTTTCTCTTTTAACGAGAGCATTACAAACAAGTTTATAGTAGCAAGACAAGATTTTAGGTGTAGATAATCAAATTTGAGGCAGCTCTTCTGCCCTCCTGTTGACAATGCAGGTGCCTCTCTTCCTCTTTTTCCTAATAAACCTGTCCTTTGACAATGTTCTAAAAAAAATCAAATTTGAATGGTAGGATAATAGAAAGACTAAATAATTTTAAATCAGAGGGCAAGATTATTGTTGGAAATATTACAGATATATGTATGCATGCATGTGTATATCCTTAAGTATCATCTACAAGGAGATTAGAGAGTATCAGTCAGTGCAGTCTTCCCTTGATTTTCACTATGAATGTGTGTTAGTCCAAACTTCCAAGAAGTTTCTGGTTTGTATTAAAATGCACTTTGAAAAGACCATGAACTCACATACTAAATTGACAGGCTACAAAGGGGACTCAGAAAAAGACATAATGAAAATAGACTTAGGTGCAATTCATGCTGGTGATTTTTTTTTTTTAAATGTAAGCCACTAATTTTTTATGAAATATTTCAAACCAAAAGTTGCATATTAATATTACACACAAACTGAAACATATGACTTTTAGCACAGTGTATACATGCTTACATAAACTCAAATATTTACACATTTAAAACAATTTCCATTTAACATATGAAAGTTCTGAAATACATAAAAGCATTAATACTTTCTATAAAACTACAATTAGAACATCAATTTGCTACAAGCATATAAAACATCAAGTGCTTTCTTGGAGTTTCAAGTTACCTCTTTATAAAACAAGATCTTGCTTGCATATATAGTCCTCCAATAATCAATATGGACTTTTGTTTTTTCCAAGAGGTTTATTTTCCAGGTATATTATAAGCTCAAGAAAACAGACCCAACAGTTACGCAATATAATTATGTCATAACAACTTAATTGCACATATGCTTTAAAGTAGGTTTGGATGAAGTTCTCAGACACTTTGGTATATATGTTCTTCAGGGACTTCTATTGGAAACAACAAGAATTGCAAGTCCCTTCAATCCCCATTTTGCTTTAAAATGGACAAGTCTTTGGTTTAAGTTCTACCTTTTGGGCATTTACTATTAATTAAAATGGTCCCCAAACCAATAAATGGTGCTGATGTTTTATTAGTTCACAAGACTTCATTTAACCTGTTTCTAACGCAGTGGAAGTCTATGGATAATCATTTACATGTCATTGGTAGTTTCAATCTTTCACTTTATAAGCAGAGAAATCAATAGGTTTAGTCAATATTTCTCTGTTCATTTTCTGTTATAATCTACACTGTACAGTAATTTACAGTAACTATAGATACTGTTCCACAGTATGTATGATTATGGTTGGAAGGATGTATAGCGTTAAATTTAGAATCAGCTTACTTGGAATAAGTCAATATTAGACTGTACAGTAAATCTGCATTAACTATAGTAGGTTGTCAGGTAATGCTTATTTAAAAACCCCAAACCATTCCATTTACAAGAGAAATTGTTGCAAATGTATAAAACAGCAGATATACAAGGAGAACACCAAACATACTTTATTAGCACAAAAAAGCAGCCATAACAAGGCACAGCAAGCAGAAACACACATTAGCAGTCAAAGGGTTAGTGTTGCATACAAATATAGCTTTTCTTTTTTTGTGGCATTGGCAATAGCCATTGGGATGTAAAATAACTTTCTGTAGCAGCAGGTAAGGAAACTAAGGAGCACTCACCAGTGGTACAGAGCACATTAACAAAAAGACACAAGGATGGATTAGACTACTTTAGTGCAAAATGTCTAGGACAGAACTGTAAATTCAGTTCATTACTAAGAAGCAAACACTAGAACTTGGTATTACTTCCAAAATAGTTCACTCAAGTAGTATTGCATACTATTCTAAGTGACAAAAAGGTGCTAAGTTATTTACAGACACAACGGTTATACAGTACCTTTTAAATCTGCAATTTAAGTTTCAAATTTTCCATTAAAAATTAACTGCACTGAAATTCTATAAATTGTACTTAAGCAATTCAGCTATGAGAGTTACAACAAAGAGATAAAATACTGCCATCCAAATTATTAATTACAGCTTAACAACGATCTCAACATCAGCAACCACTTGTAGTTATTATTCTGACTTGTTTGGGCATATTCTAGTTTCATGTTCTTCATGGTTCACAAACTCATCATGGGCATAGGAAAAGATCCAACTTTAATGAGTCAACGATTAGAACTTAAAAAATCACACCCAGGACTACACTGCAGCAGCTATTCCAAATATGTTTTTTAAGTCAATGCACTCATTAAAGACAAAACAAAAAAAAAACAACAAAGGTCTTTAAATAAAATTCTACCAATTTTTAAGTTTGAAACTTTAAGAACATTATTTAGAAAATCTGGTGTACTTAACAGTGCCTTTTGCAGAGGAGAAAAGGAGACTGAGGATAAACTCTATCAACACTTACATGAACTGCACTATGCCCATGGCCAGGAAATTGCAATTTTTTTTTTTTTTTAAAGGAAGGCAGTCTTTATTTTTTGGACTTTCAAAGCTTGATTTTATAGTAACTACAAACATCACTATGTATGGAAGGTTATAGAAAATTCTTAGAAAAAATAATAATTTCAAACAGTCACATTGTTGAAATACTCATCCAATATTAATAATTTGTTCTTTAGTAAGAAATAGAATTCTTCATAGCAAATGCCCCAGAGTCGCCTCACTTAATAACTACAGCCATGAAAAACCAACCTGTCAATTAAATTGGCAAAAATGTTTTTGCAGCCTTACCGAATACCTGTAGTTCTATCTCTGTTGTCTCAATAGGCACCACGTTTATCTGAGTAACAGCAGATTGCATCCGGCATCTGACATCTGACAGATACTAACACTAAGCTTACATACTGTACTGAAAAAAACCTAACACTGATATGTGTGCTTGCTATATGTGTACTGTCTGATGCACATAAAAGCAGACCTAGTTAATGCCCTTTGGGGACAGGAAAATTTACTTTGCTTTAACCGGTTCTCGTTCTAACCAGCGGACTCTAACTTTTTGTTTATAATGATACTCTTTTAAAAAATCCTGTAACATTGATGGCAAAGGGAGCCCATCAATCCCATCATATGTAGTGCATCTGCAGATCACTGCACGGCAGATATATTGCAGGCTAAAAGGGAAAGTCCTATTTAGTGATATAGTAAGCAATGGTTCGAAAAACATGCAAGAACTGGGGTCCTTATAATGTTCCAAAAGTCCTGTTACAGTGGAGGAGTGAAATACACATGGGTCATGAGCATCAAAACTAAAGTTGTGGTTCCACTGTTCAATTCGGGCATGCAGGGATCTGTTGTAGCGACGGAAGCTCACAGAGAAGAGGTAGTCCTCCTGCGCAGAGTCCCTGAGCAAAAATGTACCTTCAGGTTTTCCTTCAAGAAGGGCTTCTGCTTCATAACGGTCCATCACTCCCCAGTAACAGGGATTACCTGTAATCTGAAGCAAATCGGGCACTAGGCAGTGTATATAATCAATCTGTGTATGGACTTTCCAAGCTCCCTGTCTACTAACATGGGCATGGCTGTCTCCAGATACCTGACGTTGCTTCTGCCTACGTGACTGCAAACACAGGGTGGTTGTGTCCTCTTCTGAGTCACAATTAGCTTGAGGAATTGCACAATTGTCCCCACTTATTTCAGTCATTCCAGGAGCTAACTTTGGTCCCAGTTTATATAATGGATTAACCTGTGCAGTGGCTTCAAATGTATGTATTTGTGCATTGGGAGGGGGGTCAACCCCTTCCTCAATACTAAGCCGCCTTCTCTCTCTAAGCCTATCTTCTTCATCTTCTGTAGAAACCAAGGATGGATCAAACGTATCAAAAAATGTTGAATGTGGACTCACAGGCGCTGTATGCTGTTTAATCAAATGCCATTTTTGGGCTAAATCAGAACCAGCAGGAAAAGGGCATTTCTCTAGCATTAATTCAGAAAGGTGTATTTTTCTTTTATTTGAAAACAGGGGCTTGGACTGCTTATTGTAAGTTCTCATGGGAAAACACAAGCCCACAGTGTCCTGCAACCTCTGTCTCAGAGAGCGACTTCCTACAGTCCTGCTGGAAACGCTGTCCATGTCATGCACAGAGCTGACGCCATATCGCCTCTCTCTCCTCTGAAATCCACTTCGAGTTCTACCAAACTTTTTATCATTATCCAATGAACTCTGTGTCTTTGTAGAACAGGAATGTTTTTTCTTCCCACCCCATGGGGCATGACGAGAGTAGGAATCTCTTCTTGCAAGTCTTGTTCCTGGGGTGACACATGAATCATTATCCTTTTCAATGCTTATTTCAACAATTTGAGGAATTTCAGTGGCACAGTTTTGGTTTCTTCTTGAAGAATTCTTTGAAGGGCTTAATCCCAGTTGTAAGGCAACATTTTCTCTTAAGGGACTGCTTTGTTGCTGAGGAGTTGAGTCTCCTACACTGATGTTTTTCTCTTTGACAGATGAACATCTGTTGCAGTTCATGTCCACGTTTTCACTACGGCTTCCTCCCTCATGATTGAAGAGATTCTGACACCTGTACTTGAAGTTATTCCACATTTTCCCCACTTTATCCATTGGTTATAAGATCTAAAGACAGACAGGAAAAGAAGAAAAGTAAGTTAAACGAAGTGGTATGTGAACACAGAAATGGCAGTGCTTACTCCCCTTCTCATTGGATAGTTCAGTGACACCGGGTAAGAATTCACCTTACATTGCACGCCACCATTAATCAAGCATGTCCTCATTTCCTTTCAGATGAATATTCAAAAGAAATTTGGGAAAGGAAACAACCCTCTCAGAAAAACTGGTTTCATTTCCCCAACCTAATTTCATAATCACATTGACTTTGTCTTTTTACTTTGAATAATTTGATTACTGCCTCAATATTACAAAGGGGAAAGTATGTTCTATATTGTTGAAATGTATCATTGAAAGTACTGTTGTGTATTCAACTTCTTAAAACATAATTAGGACCACAGTTGTGTAACACACTAATTTTAATTTAGAAACATTTAAGTGGTAATCTTCCCAATTTCTGTTACCAATCACTGCCCTCTTATCTAAAGCTCATAGGTCAAACACTTGTAAAAATTCTGTATCTGGGCCTCCCCTGGTGGTGCAGGCGGTTGAGCGCCGTGCTGTGAGGCTGTCTGCAGCCTTTGCAGCACAGGTTCGATCCCAGCCAGCCGGCAAGGGTCCCACATGGCGCAGCAAACCTCTCCTGTTGTGCCCGCTGCTCCCCTCAGCAGTGTATTTCGTCAATCTTCCTGTTCTGTTCCCCGCTCTGTCTCTGGTGGATCCTCTCACACTCCCGCACATCTGGCCTGTACCCCGGATCTTGTATAAAATAAATAAATCTTTAAAAAAAAATTCTGTATCTTCCCTCTTAACCCTAATGTGTCAATTTTTATCCATGATTGTGAAGAAGCAGTTTGAAAAGAAAGGTAAATATGGAGGAAAGAGAACATAATATTTGGAAAGAGAATATAATATAATAAATGGTGAAGTGTCTTTAAACGTCCCAATTCTTAACCGTGGAAGAGTTTGGATATAACTTAGTAATAGAAAAAAGCTGTGATACTGCTGTAATTAACAAAACAAAACCAAAATATCTAGTTGGCACCTTTATTCTTGCTCCTTAAAATAAAATGATCTAAAGCAGTTTATGGCACTCAACAAGGAGATTATTTCAAGATTACAACATCACCAGGCACATTGTCTCATTTAGTAATCTGTAAGTCAACATTAGAAGAAATGGAAAAACCTAAACTTAAGATTCAACTAGTTTTGCTACAGTATGACAGAACTCTTTTAAAAAAAAGGTCTCTTTTTCTATGTTGCCGTTTAATAACTACTGTATTTTTACCCCCAGAATTTTTTGTTCATGTTTATTATCTCACTATGTATGTAGTATTTTTCACAGCTTAGAATCAATACTGGAAAACTATTTGAGGTTTTTTTTCTTTTTTTTAAAATAGCAATAATTCTTTTTTTTTTAACTTTTATTTATTTTTTTTGAGTTTTTTTTTTTTCTCTGACAGTGGTGAAAGTCATTAGAGTTGATCCATTAGAGTTGATACATCCATAGCTTTGACTAATCCTCTTTGTCATAAATACTTGCAATTTCAAGAAGTTGACTAGGGTTAAGAGAACAATAAAGAATAAACTTTCTTTAAATGAATTATGTATCTTTCGGATAGTTTTTTACACAAAGGACTTTTGGACTAGTAAAACTCTTAGAATAATGACAATGCCAACACAGAGAATTTATGTCTATGAAATCATGAAATGTACTTTCAGATTATTCTTTATTAAAGCAGACTGTTCAGAACATAGGAATTTGCATGGCAGTTGGTAAGTGCTCTAATAAAATTCATTATATGGAACTGGTAAATCCTATTAAACTATCAACATTTTGCCTTTTCCCCTTTGCAAAAATCTTTTTTGTATAAGCCTTTTTAAAAAACGGTTTACATTAACTGAACTTACTGTATCTTCTTAGCATTTACTCTTATTTTTTTTTTTTTACATGAAGGTTTCTTGTTTTCGCTCATACTCCTGTTGTTTACAGCTTAATTCCACATTTTTGATGACATCAAAATCTTTGTAGAGGTACTCTGCCAATATCCTAGAGGTCATTCTAGTCTAGTTTCCTTCCCATTTCTTTATTTTGAAGTTGCTTTTTTTATTTTTACCTAATTCATATAAAGTATAAATTCATATATTTATAGTTTCAAAGGTTAAATGCTATAGAAAAACAGCATTCCCCACTACACTCTTTCTATCCTTGATTCCCTCTCTCAGAGAAAATGACTAAAATCTTTTTAAAAGCTGTTTCTGCTGTTACTGTCCTCATCATTTCCAGACAACAAACTCATATTGTTATTGGTTAATAAAATTTCTAGGTTGGAAATAACTTACCCTCAGAATTTTGAGTGGCATTATTCTACTATTCTAGTAGCTTCTAGTGTAAAATGTCCAATGATACACCAATTTCCAGTCTTCGTAGCTTCTTTTCTTTATCTTTAGTGTGGGCCTTTTTCACCATACATTGTACTGGGTCCTTTCAATGTCCTTCCCACTGCCTCTTTCCTCCCTTCTGAAAGTCCTTTTCATTAGATACTAGATATCTTAGAATCCTATTTTTATTATATATTTTCTCTTCACCATTCCATTCCTTTTCTTTTCTACTTTCTCACAGATAACGTTTGGTATCACTTTCTAACACTTCTATTGCATTTATAAGTTTTCTATTACAGTTTTAATTTCCAAGACCATTTTCTTGCTCTCTAGATGTTCCTTTTAAAATCATCCTATTCTAGCTGTTTGGATGTGGTAGCTTATATATTTGGGATACAAATTTTTAAAATATATTCTTCCTTATCATAACATTTAACTTTTTTTTCACTTGTTTCTTCTCAGTACCTTTGCTCTCTTTAGGTTTGTTTCTAATTGATTTTGTCCAGTGTCTGACAATCGCTAGTGGTGCATCAGCACTAATGTGCTGATCAGAAGGTGTCTGTATGGGGTGGGGTGGGGTGTGTGTGCTGGTCAACTGGTTAGTATTACTGCACAGTAATGAGGCACTGACTGGTTTTTCATTAAAGAATCCCTAAAAGTCCATGTCTGTAAGCTTTGTTTCCTGGCTGGGGAATTATCCAAGAGAAAAATGTTTCAGCTGCCTGTCTGAAGCATACATACCTGATTGCTGTGTTCTGAGAAGAGGAGAATACTGGGGTCTTAACCTCAATATTTAGTCTTTTGCTTAGTCCCTATTTTTCAAAAGGTATCCTTATTTTCAAAAGATACTCCAACATCAGCTATGAATGAACCTCTTAAATTTCTTCAAGCTCTAATTTTATCTACCATGAAGGACTGTCTCCAGGCTGCTCAGAGGAAAGGAAGACACACAGGAGTCTGAGACACACAGACTTTCAACCATTCCCGTTTTCACTCCATGCTTCATCCTTACCTTCTGAGGTAGCTGGTCAATCTAATTTCTGGGTCAGCAGTATAAATTTGTTTGCTTCCTTTGAACATCCTCTTTTTTAGGCACAGCTTTCTCAGTTCTGTTAATTTCTAGCTACCTACGTCTACCAAAAATTTGTAATATGCCATCAGGCATACTACTCCTCTCTCCTTTGTTTGTTTTTTTTAATTTGTGGGCTTATGCCTCAAACTTTTCAAATTCCTTTTAATTTCAGTAAGGTTCCAGGAGGAGGGATTAATGTTCAAAGGCCAATGTTTAATATGACATGTATTAACTGTAAAGTTACCTTTTTCATTGTTAAAGAGAACAAATGGTACTACACAGAAATTACCCCATCCAAATCACTGATTCATTTCAAATGAAGAAACAAAAAAGTTTTCTGGGATGAGGGATCCACATCATAATGCTGGCTGCATATTATAAACACCTTTTAAAACTACATGAGGTACAGGCCCTCTTCAAACAGATTCAAATTTAATTGGCTTGGAGTTGGGCCTAGACACTACTTTGTATTTTTTTAAAAAACTCTGTAAGTTATTCCAGAGTAGAGCAAGAAAACCACTGGCCTAGGTTTGAACTGTAGCCCTGAAGGAGACAAGTGAAAGGACACAGGTTTGGTAATGCCTGGTGGGAGGTGAATAGTACAAAGAAACTATCACAACCTTATCACCACTTATTTTTATTTTTGTCATGTATACAAAAGGTTTACAGAATCAGAACATACAGAGCAATGCTTCTTAAATTATCCATAAGGAAGAACCAATTCTTTTTAATTTCACAGACTGATAAGATAAATTAAGATAAAATAAGACAAATGACTAGAAAATGAAATGTAAAAAAAAGACATGAAACATAAATGCCAATTTTCTTATTAAAGAGACACAAAATAATTGCCAAATCACTATGAAATATTTTAAATGTTTATTTTTTGAGTTCTGGGAAGGTTTGCAAAGTTTGCAAAGTTTGAGGCCTATATTTGAGTAGCTCTGGCCTAGAGCCATGCTGTCCAATACATGTAGATATTGAGCCCTTAAATGTGGCTAATATCACATATTGAAATGAAAATTTGGATAAAACTGGTTTAGTATATTATTAAAATTAATTTCATCTGCTTTTTAACTTTTTTTTAAGCAATTTTTTTAAAAGATTTATTTATTTATTTATACAAGCAATGGGTACAGTCAGAAACGTGAGAGGGTGAGAGAATTCACCAGAGCCAGAGTGGGGAGCAGAGCAGGCAGAATGACAAGTACACTGCTGAGGGGAGCAGCGGGCGCGGCAGGAGACGCCATGTGGGACCCTCCCCAGTGGCCGGGGATTGAACCGGCGCTACAGAGGCTGCAGGCAGCTTTACAGCCCAGCGCTCAAGCGCTGTGCCACCAGGGGAGGCCCTGCTTTTTTATTTTTTAAATGTGAACTCTAAAAAATTTTATATTACATATATTGTTTAAATTATATATCCATTGGACAGCACTGATTTAGAACAGGGGTCAATAAACGATAGCCTGTGAAATATGCTGGCTTGTCGCTGATTTTTGTATGGACCTCAAGAACGTTATTTACATTTTTAAAGGGACAAAAAAGCAAAACCAAAAAC